CGTTCAATGACCCCAAAATATGACAATTTGGAAAATGCGGGATTTCTATTTTTGGAACTTGAGATATGCACAGATTCAGCTACGAGTGTGACACCGCTATTTTGCACAGTGCTTTGATGATCATGTTCTTCTGTATAAAATGTATACTTGTTAATTATATAACCAGAGTACGATAGAACATTTGAATTTGGACCATTTGCTAGCCATCTCAATCTTTCTGAAATTGAATCAGGATTTTTAGCAAATTCTGAAAAAATGTGTTCTTTTAGCCACGGTATAAAACTTCGATTGTGTTCTCTTGTTAACCAATTTTCACTCTTATTAGGGTTCAAACTTTGAAGTATTTCTTTGTGCTTTTCAACATATGGCTCAACCTCATCAGCATTGTGTAGAACATACAAGTGTGATTTCTCCAATTCGATGTCTGACATGGTTACTAGTTTACTTGCACCAATCCCTTCCCCTGTTGTTTTTCCAGAGTGTCGTGACATTGGAATCCCTATGGGCTCAATATTAGAGAGGTATTCAGTACAAAACTCAATGGCTTCTTCAACTAAATATCGTTCAACAATACAACCATCTGGTCGACTTCGATTCTTCACGTACCCTTTTATTATCTTCATGTAACGCTCAATCGGGTACATCCACCTCATATAAGCTGGTCCACAATATTGTGTTTCCATTATAAGATGGACTGTAAGATGAACCATTATGTCAAAAAATGAGGGTGGAAAATACATCTCAAGCTCACATAATGTGACAACAATTTCCTTTTGTAACGTCGATAACTTCTCAGGGTCAATAACTTTGCTACAAATAGCTTTGAAGAAAAAACAAAGTTTAGTTATGGTCCATCGCACATTTTCAGGTAAAAAGGAACGTATAGCCACTGGAAGAAAGTTCTCCATTAAAACATGACAATCGTGAGACTTTAAACCCTTCAATTTGAGATCTTTCATAGATACCAAACTCTTAATGTTTGATGAGTAGCCCTCTGGAACTTTAACATTGTGAAGAACCTTACACAAGATCTTTTTCTCTTTTCTTGACAGAGTATGAGCGGCTGGAGGTAGAAATGTACGCTTCCCATCCCTCTTAACCGGCTGTAACTCATTTCTTAATCCCATACTTTGCAGGTCTAACCTTGCATTAATGCCATCCTTAGACTTTCCTGGAAGATTGAGTAATGTACCAACGACACTTTCAAACACATTTTTTTCTATATGCATCACATCAAGGAAATGTCTAACATACAATGACTTCCAATACGGAAATTCAAAGAAAATTGACTTTTTTTTCCATCCTCCCTTTACAAGTTCACTTGAAAATGGCTTTCCAAAATTAGTGCTCAAAAGCTTTACCTTTTGGTATAATTGATAACCCGTCAAAGCCAAAGGAGCTCTATTTTCTTCTGATTCACCATTAAAAGCTTTTCTCCATTTTCGAAAATGATGGTTGGTATTTAAAAATCTACGGTGTCCAAGAAATACATTCTTCATACAATACTCCAATCGTATTGAATGTGTACCATCTTCACATATGGGGCATGCAAATTTTCCTTTGACACTGTAGCCTGATAGATTCCCATAGGCAGGAAAATCATTGATTGTTCCAAATAACATAGCCCTCAAGTTGAAGGATTCTTTTTTATACTCATCATATACCTCCACACCTGTCTCCCACATATGCTTTAAATCTTCAATTAATGGAGCCAAGTATACATCTATATCATTTCCTGGTTGCTTGGGCCCAGAAATTAACATACTCAACATCGTGTATTTGCGCTTCATACATAGCCATGGAGGTAGGTTATAAATCAACAAAATGACTGGCCAAGAAGTAAGTTTACTACTTTGAATACCATGAGGATTTATTCCGTCAGTAGACAATGCAAGACGTAGGTTTCTTTCTTCCTTCCCAAAATTTGGGTAATCATGATCAATTTTTGCCCATTGAGGAGAATCTGCGGGATGTCGGAGCATTCCATCAACAACCCTTTCATTTGCATGCCATGTTAAGTTCTTTGCGCCTTCTGCATTATGATACATGCGCCTAAATCTTGGTATTATTGGAAAATACCATAGAGTTTTGGCTGGAGCTGTTTCTTTCTTCTTATAGCGTGGGGCACTACATTTAGGACACATATTCAACGATGCATACTCCTTGCGAAATAAAATGCAATCATTTGGACAAGCATGTATCTTCTCGTAACTCATGCCAATAGAACATAACAATTGTTTAGACTCATACGTTCGACTAGGGAGCACGTTGTTCTCAGGCAAAATATCCTTTAACAGAGTCAACAAGTCTGTGAAGCTCCTATCGGACCATCCATGGCGTGCTTTTAAGTTATACAACTTTAAGACCGTTGACAGTCTTGTGAATTTAGTACATCCATCATACAACGGAGTCTCTGCATCACTTACTATCCGCTCAAACATTTGAGGACAATCACGAAGATCTTCCTCAATTACATTGACAAATTCTTCAACTCGATCAAACGCATAATTCGTATCTTTTTCAAAATCATTTGATGAATCTCTCCCATTGCTCCTTTTTGTGGACTTGGTTTTTTTTTCCCCGTGCATTATCCAGCATGTGTAGCTTTTATCAATTCCATTACATATTAAGTGATCTTCCAAAACATTTGCACTAACATCCGTATAACAACATTCTAAGCAAGGGCATATGATTTTACTAGTGTCTTCAGCATGAGCAATAGCAAACCTAACGAACTCACGAACTCCATCTTCATATTCTTTTGACGCTCGATTGGCAAACATCCATTTTCGATCCATATTTCCTAACAAGTAACATATATAACTAGTTAAAAATTGGTTCTAACAACCAAATTATGTTCCATCTTGGACCATTTCACATTTGAAACTCTACTTTTAAATTGATTATTTCACATATTATGAACTATATTATAATGGTATCTAACATGCTTATCAATATGATCTATCAGAGTAAAAACTCGAACAGCTGGAATTTCATTATCAAGAGAGTGGTATAGATTGCCTAATACATATATCATAATACCCTCTAAAGTATACTGATCAAAGTTATTAAGTAATATTAATTCATCGTTGGATAGTAAACCATTGTTTTTTATATATTCAATAGCAGAAGGTTTATTATCATCAATAAAGAGTTTTATTAAATTAGGATAATTTTTATATACATCACTTTTATCACTCAGGAATTATAGCATCATCAGGAAGTATTCAATTCAGATAATACTAATATTGGGTTTACTACTTTTTCTATTTAATATAATATTAAGGATCCACTAGTTTGTAAAGCTCTATATTCTCAAACCCACTTATTTTTATTAAACCACATAAAAACAGGACCAAGTCATGATTACGTTCTAAGGTTCAAACAAAAGGGTCTTCATATTTTATACTCACATGCCAAATTTATTTCCAAGACATTATTATAATAATAATTAATTTGACTTGTTGTAATAAATACTACAATATCACCATTTTATGATAATGAAATAAATTTTTACAGAACAATATCTCAATACCCAAATCAGCAAGCATATTATATTTTGAAGTTGATACCTATTACCCCCCACAGTGACCAATCATAGGAAGAGAAATCATGAACTCAAACTGCCAGATATATATACATCAAGAACAAAGAAAGCTACAAGACAAACCAAAACACTGTCTCATCTTCCAGCAGTGTCACAGATCAACTAGTTATAGAAAACTTTGGAACATGATAGTATTAAATCACATTCTGAGTTCCAATGTGTTTTATTTTTGTTCAAAAGGAAAGGGAAAAGGAAATATATAATTACTGTGTGTTCTGGTGAAAACAGTGACGAGAATGGAAAAATATTGAATATATAAATGCATAAGAAAACAAAAGAAAATAGGACAATGTGTCAATTAAAGTTAACAGAAAAAGAAAAACTGTCATGTGTTATACTTCTTATTATGTCAGCTATGTTCTTTAACTTTAGGAATAAATGTCAAAAGACAATGATAAAACAGAGAACAATAATAAAACCTCAACATTGTATGAAAAACATAGAACAGTGATGAAACCAACCTGAATGTAGTTAATTATATCAAAGTTTGCAAGTCTTGATCCACCCTCTTGCTGTCTACAGAGCCACTGATCAAGTTTTTCCTGAAATCAAAAAAACATCCAACATTAACGAAATGCCAATTTTTGCTTGGATTGAAAAGAAGAATCGATTAATTGTGACTAAATCACACCAAAACAACAGAAGCCTTATCACTCAAACTAGAACAAACTTTTCAACTCATCTTCAACCAATGTACTGACTTTTTTGCTCTCCATAAAACTTCATTCCTCTCTTCTCTTCCTTCTTCCATGTCTACATTCTTTCTTCTGCACTCAACTCAGATGGCATAGCACTTATATCATTCAATTCCCACTAGATATCACTTCCGCTTCTCATAAACTCATTTAGGACAAAGAACAAAGGTGAAAGAACCAATTCCTTATGAGTAGGAAATGATATGACTATAATATTCATCCATCACATTCTTGAATATATAGCTGTCTGTCCACAATTTGTTGTGGGGACTGAGGTCCCGTGAATTTGATTGATCGATCGTCCTTTCATTGCGTGTCTTGTCATTTAATCCACAAGAATTCGGCCAATCCGACTTCAGAGTAACTGCAGTTTCTTTGTATTTTATACACAGAAATTGATTTATGAAACATTTATAAGTTTGGCAGAATGCTAAAAAGAAAATGTTCAATAAAAATAAGCATCTGATTCGATTATTCAGTGCTTAAGTTTACAGCACAACTCAACCAAAAGAAAAGATTAAAAGTTTGGAGAAAGTGTGGTGCAGAATATGTAGCTAATTTCTTAAGAATCTATATATAACTTAAAAAGTGATAATATTCTAAATGAAATCTTAGTCCAAGTTCAGGGTCTAAAAACAAGAGCAATATACATGGTTATTCTTCATAATTCAAGTTGTGCTTGATTTTGCTATAGTTTTATGGTTCAAGTGATGCTTAAATCAGAAAGATCGTTCCATAGCAACCTTCCGATAATTCGTATGTCTTGATCGTTTCATTATACTTCTTTATGATTATTCTGCTTATTGGATTTGAATTAAATTTCTTGCAAAAACATGATTATGGTAGGAATACTAGGTGATGGTAGATGTATGTTTAGATCAGTGGTCTATGGTGCCTGCCTCAGAACAGGAGACCCACCTCCAAGTCTCACCAAGCAAAAAGAACTTGCAGATGAACTCAGAGCTAAAGTAATTTACTAATTGTTTTGATATGGTTCACTCGTAATATTACAGTTGTTTTATAGTTGCAGATGCAAGCACACTTTGCTGAACTGTGTAAAAAGGCGCTCTATTTTCTCTTTTATTACTAGTTGTTGTTATAACACATTATTTGTAGGTTGTGGATGAATTCATCAAGAGGAGAACATACACTGAATGGTAAGTTAATTATGTTGAGGAAAAAGTTTTGATATATTACACTTTTACAATATCTTATACTAGTGTTCACTTTTGTGTGTAGGTTTCTTAAGGGTGACTTTAACACCTATACAATGCAAATGAGAAAGTCTCAAGTATGGGGAGGAGAGCCTGAACTTCTCATGTCATCCCATGTTCTAGAGTTAAGTCAATTTTCATATACATGTCATATTTGTCCAATGTTATGACTAAATCATTTACTAATGTTTTAATGATGATGTGTGTTATGGTTTTAGGATGCCTATAACAGTGGTGATGCAGGATATGAATTCCAATAACATTAAAGTTATAGCTGAGTATGGTCAAGAGTATGGAAAGGAGAAGCCTATTAGAGTTATATATGATGGTTATGGGCACTATGATGTATTGAAATGTTCAACATGATCTAATACTGCAATTTATTGTAACCTAGTGATTGTCTGTCTGTATTATAACTTTACTGTGTTTCAATGTGATTGTGACGTCCTAGTACCAAACTAAAGCAAATTATGGACTTGAGTAGGGCATGTGGAATCTAACTCATAAAAGATACATATCTAATTACATAGATCGCACTGTGTTCAAAAAATCTAGTGATTGAAGCACGAGTCTCTTATAGTAATCAAAAGGAAGTAAGTGATTCGTACTGAATTAACCATAGTGAAGCCGATCAAGTGGTCTTGACATATCATATATGAATAGGATTCTGTCTAAACTCTATACTATTCTAAAATCAACATGAGTTCCTTCTCATTCAAAACCATACTCATGGGCTGGTCTCAAATACAACTCTTTCCACCGTGTAATCTCTCTCAACATTGATATTTACGGTTAACTAGGACTAGAAATTGAAAATTGCACACAACTTCAACACATAGACCTTAGTTAAAACTAATTCAATGGCCAAATACCTTACACTTCATGCCACTACTCACAACTGCTCACATCAATAACCAACTCATCTCTCACCATTCAGGCACACATCAATAACACAAGCCTTATCACTCAAATTTCACGAACCCTCACAACTGCAACTTAACCTCACAAACCCTCATTACAGCTACTCAAAATCACGAATATCCGTCAACACAAAGACATCATAACGCTCACAAACAACACAGAGAATCAACGGATAGCAGAAACTGAAAAAAGAAATATTACTGGATACAAATGAAGAGAGGGATGACGACGACATAGGTGAGATGACAAAGGGTTGAGTTCGACGGAGAATGAGATTTGGTTGTTCTTTCTTTTCGGTGTTTCCTCCTTCTGTTTGAGTGTCGTTTGAGAAATGAATCTGAATCTGAATCGATGGTGAATCCGATGGCTGAAGAATGGATCCGGGTGAAAACCGAAGGAAGGGATGACGGTGGTAAATCAATGACTAACGGCGGTGAATCAATGAAAACCGAAGGAAGCAGAGGAAGATTTGACGGTGGAGAATCAGTTGGGAGAATCAATGGCTAAGAAGGAAGCAGAGGAAGATAATGTTTTTGGGAGAATCAATGGTAGTGTTTTTGTTTTTGGCGGTGAGTGGATGCGGGAAACCCAATTTTCTGAAAATGTGTTTTGTTTTTTTTTTTTATCAATTAATTAATTAATTCATTATTATATATAACATAGCGCTTTTTAATAAATGCTATTATATAGGTAGTCAAATAATAGCGTTTTATACAAAATGCTATCTTAAAGAAGTTTAATAATAGCGTTCTGGTACAAAGTGCTATCAAAATTACATAGTCTGTATTATATAATAGCGCCCGATTAAAAAGTGCTATTATAAATGTGTTTTTTCCATTTTAATAGCATTTTTTTTAAAAGTGCTATTAAATTAGGTGATACAAAAAATCATTTTTGGCGTAGTGTAAACATTCATCGGTAAATGCATGGCTTCTAATGTTTCAGTTTAAGTAGTCTATGAAGTTGAATGAAATTATGGATGTATGTTTTAGATTAAATCGCGTTTGTTTTTCAATTTCTTCAATTTTTCTAAGTACAATTTTTTTAAGTACAGAAGGTGGGAAATAGAAGTTAATATAGATCACTGTGATGATGGTATTTTGTTAATTGATGATGTTTGTTATTGTTTTGGTTTTGATTAGTTTTCTTTTTCATTTTTTTCCTTCTGTTGTTTTGATCTTATGCTGTTTAGATGCGATGGAGGAATGAATGAGATCAAGTGGCATTTGAGAGAGTGGTGGAGTCAAAGCAAGATGAGTATAATCAGAAAGAACCAATTGACATCTTAGTATTATTTGATTTTCTATATTTATTTTGAACGGTTCTTCTAGGATACTTGGTTGTATTTGTTTTATTATTTCTATTTATGTTAGAAATCACAAAGAGAGAGTATAATCACAATTTGATCATTTATAAATTATATATTTAGTTAATTTTGAAATATTTTTTTATAAAAATGTTACCTTATTTTTTATATGTTACTATTAAAGGAATTTAAATTATAAATAAGAGAGACATAAAATATAACTTTATGTTTCAATTGTTTTTTATGTGTGGGATTTTGGATCGAACTCTAGTTGGTCGAAGTACATGCTGTAGTCGAAGAAGGGTCCAGCATGTATTTGTCGAAGGATTCTTGTCGAATTAGGTTTTAGTGTTTAAACCCTAATTTGTTAAGTTAGCTTGTTTGTTAAGTTAGCTTGTATAATGGGCCTTGTGGAAAAAGCCCATTAGTTAGTATGTTAGGTTTTATTATAAATAGCATACTAGTCTCTCATCATTGCAACACAGCAAATCCTAATTAGGGTGAGAGGGTTATTTGTTATCCTTGTAAACTTGTAATCTTGTTTTCAAAGAGAAAGTAAAGAATAGCAGTTATAACCAATTCTTGTGTTCTTCTTCTTCCTTGTTCTTTATTCTTCCCAAATACTATACTTTGTTATTGGCATTGAATTCACAACAAATTGGTGCGGTGAACGTGGAGAAGATGCCTTCAACAAAGTATGAGATCGAAAAGTTCACCGGAGTGAATGATTTCGGTCTATGGCGCTTGAAGATGAAAGCTCTACTGGTTCAGCAGGGTTGTTTGGAAGCGTTGAAGGGAGCGACGGCGATGGACGCTGCGTTAACAGAAAGAGAGAAGACGGCCATGATCGAGAAAGCACACAGCGCAATTTTGTTGAGCCTTGGTGATAAGGTTCTTCGACAGGTATCAAAGGAGACGACGGCATCAGGGTTATGGGTGAAACTTGAAAGTTTGTATATGACCAAATCTCTGGTAAATCGACTCTACCTGAAGCAAGCTTTGTATTCATTCAAGATGATCGAAGACAAAGTGTTGGCTGAGCAGTTGGATATGTTCAACAAGCTGATTCTTGATCTTGAAAATATTGATGTAAAGATTGATGATGAAGATCAAGCGTTGTTATTGTTGTGCGCTTTGCCCAGATCACATGCTCACTTCAAAGAAACCCTCTTGTATGGAAGAGAGTCCCTGACCTTTGAAGAAGTTCAATCAGCCTTGTACTCTAAGGACTTGAACGAACGTAAGGAGCATAAACCTTCGACGGTTGGTGAAGGTTTGGCTGTTAAAGGAAAATTCGACAAGAAGAAAGGTAAAAATCAGTCGAAGTCTTATAGTGGTGACACATCTGGTATTAGATGCTATCACTGTAAGAAAATAGGTCACACAAGAAAGGTGTGCCCTGAACGCCTGAAAGATCATGGAGGTAAGGATAATGGCAATGCAGCTATTGTCCAAGATGATTTCGAATCATCTGATGTTCTTGTGGTTTCAAGCAACAACTCGTCGAAGGAGTGGATTATGGATTCTGGATGCACTTGGCACATGACTCCAAACAAAGACTTGTTCGAGGAATTATGTGATCAAGATGGTGGATCGGTATTGCTGGGAAACAACAAAGCTTGCAAGATTGCAGGCGTTGGATCTGTGAGATTCAAGCTCCATGATGAGTCAATAAGACTGTTGACTGAAGTCAGGTATGTACCTGATTTGAAGAGAAATTTGATTTCTCTTGGTGAATTCGACAAGAAAGGATATGTTTTTCAAGGAGAGAAAAGTATCCTGAGAGTCATGAAAGGGTCGAAGGAAGTCTTGAGAGGCGTGAAGAAACAAGGCTTGTATACCCTTGAGGCTGAAGTTGTAAGTGGTTCGACAAATGTTGCATCCACGAAACCTTTGTCGAAGACAGAAATTTGGCACATGAGATTGGGCCATGTCAGTGAAAGGGGTCTGGTCGAATTAGGGAAACAAAATCTGCTTGGTGGAGATAAAGTCGAAAAGCTGAAGTTTTGTGAACCCTGTGTACTTGGAAAGTCCTGTAGAATGAAGTTCAACAAAGGCAAACAAAGAACACATGGATCCCTTGATTACATCCATGCTGATCTTTGGGGGCCTGCAAGGTGTCCATCACATTCAGGAGCAAAGTATTTTCTATCCATAGTAGATGACTATTCCAGAAAGTTATGGGTATTCATCCAGAAGACTAAGGATGAAACTTTTGAGAATTTCAAAAGTTGGAAGACTCTTGTCGAAAATCAAACTGGCAGAAAGGTAAAGAGGTTGAGAACCGACAATGGCCTTGAGTTTTGCAATGAGGCGTTCGACAGTTTTTGTGTTGCCTCTGGTATTGCAAGGCACAGAACTACCGCAGGTACTCCTCAACAAAATGGTTTGGCTGAAAGGTTTAATCGAACTATTTTGGAGAGAGTTAGATGCATGTTGACTAGTGCGGGATTAAAGAAGGTGTTTTGGGCTGAGGCTGTTTCGACAGCAGCATATCTGATAAACAGATGTCCTTCGACAGCGTTAGATATGAAGACACCTGAAGAAGTTTGGTCGGGACATCCACCAGATCTCGACAAACTAAGAGTATTTGGCTGTGTAGCCTATGCTCACATTAGGCAAGACAAGGTCGAACCTAGAGCTCTGAAATGCATGTTTATGGGATACCCTGAAGGAGTAAAAGCTTATAGGCTATGGTGCCTAGAGCCAGGTCACAGGAGGTGTATCACCAGTCGAGATGTAGTTTTCAATGAAACGGAAATGGCTTTCAAGAAAACTGATGATGTTGACGAAGAGCTGGAACAGGTAGAGATTCCTGTTGAGGTGGAGCATGTTGATGCTGAAATGCGTATCCCAGATGAAGTCGAAGAAGAAACAGAAGATTCTGATGATGTTGAGGAAACTGTTGATGACTACCTATTGTCGAGAGATAGGCAACGAAGAGTCATAAAACCACCTCAGAGACTTGGATATGCAGATCTTGTAGCTTATGCCTTAATCTCTGCAAGTGAAGTTCTAGACGAAGAACCTAGAGATTATAAGGAAGTTATGAGGAGTCGAATGAAGACTGAATGGCTAAAGGCCATGCATGATGAGATGAAATCTCTTCATGATAATCACACTTGGGAACTAATCAAGA